CCCGTCTCTCTCTCTCTCTGTGTGTGTTCGTGTGCATGTGTGTGGCGTCGTGTGTGTCAGGTCTGTTGGTGGAGGTAGTGCTGCGTAACGATGCTGGTTGGAGTTACGGCCGCCTGGTGCACATCGACCAGGACCAGTTTGTCGTCACGGACACTGGCGGATGGTTCCCTGACTACCTACTCGACGTACACACCACACACCACACACCACAGAGCCACGGAACCGCACCCCCCACCCCCCCTCCCTCTCCCTCTGTTGTGTGTGTGCATCTGTGCAGACGATCCTAGGGCCGGCGACTGGCGTGGCCGTGTACCTGCAGCCGTCGCCGGAGGTGCAGCGGTCGGGGGCGTTCCAACAGCAGCAGGAGCAGGAGCCGGAACAACACCAGCAGCAGCAGCAGCAGGGCAACACGGCCACGGCCGACACCAACACGGAGAACGTGATGCTCCGCACACACGCCAAGAGGGTCGTCTGGGATTACACGGTAAATGAGCAAACCCGGCCAGCCCTGCCAACACAACCGTGGGTGCATTGCTTTCCTCCCTCCCTCCTTGTCTTTGTGTGGTGTGGTGTGTGTGCCTGGGTGAAGGCTCCTAACGATATCACTTCCAACTGCATCAGCGTTAGGCAGGGCGACTGGGTGGTGGTTATCAGGTCGGACTCGAGCGGCTGGTCTTACGGCCGCCGTATCACCGACACGAATGACATCAGCCGAGGACCCCAGGGTCAGCCAGTCAGCCAGCCGGACAGACAGACAGACAGACAGCCAGACAGGCACCAAATGAGAGTTGAGGTGTGCTCACAGGGGTGTTTGTGGGTCTGTCTTCACAGGTTGGTTCGCCACTGGCGTGCTGGAGGAGGCGCAGAGCGGCTAGACTGTGGCCTAGCGAGAAGGGATGGATGGGGCACACACCATGCACACAACCACCATACCACATCACACCACACCATTAGATGGATGGATGGATGGACCCATCGCACACATGATGTGCCTCTGCCTGCCTGCCTGATTGCCTTCCTCCCTCCCTCCCTCCCTCCCTGGCTGTCTGCCCGACACACATGATGCACACACATAGCCACACACACACACACACACACAGCCACACGCGCCACGACACGACACGCCTTATATACGCCACACATGCTGTTTTTATGCATGAAACTGCCCGTGCGTGTATCTGGCTGAATGGATGGGTGGATGGATGGATGGCCGGTGCCCTTGCTGCTGTCTGTCTGTCTGCCTGCCTGCCTGCCCGGCGTGAGGTGATGTGAGCTGACGGTACATTCAGGGGCACACACAGCCAGCCTGTGTTGGCTGCCTCCACTGCCGCCGACCGACCTGTGAGAGAAAACGAGCCGACGAACGAACAAGTGTAGACTAGATGAGAGAGAGAAAGGAATGCGCGCACCAAACCCAACCTAACCCACTGCTGCCCCGTTTTTGCGATGTCCGCCTGCCTGTCTGCCTGTCTGCCTGGCCTGCCTTGTGGATGGATGGATGTGCACCTGGTGTGTGTGTGTGGTGTGGGTGATACGTACGGCAAGAGGGTTCTTCTGGCTTGGCTGGGGACACACATTTTGCGAGCGAGCGATTTTTTAGCCGCCTTCATTCGTAGGTGTGTGTCTGCCTTGCCTGCGCGTGTGCGATGCAATGCCAATGCAGTGCACTCACTGGATACCTTGATTGATAGACGGCCGGACCGACTGTGGGCATTTTAAGTATCCGACACTTAACAACGACTTAAAGGAGTGAGACCAGAGCTCTGACCCCCTTTCAATCGCCATGAGGATGCATGGATGTCTCGCCTCGCATTGCCTTGCCTCGCTCTCTCCCCCTCCCTCTGTGTGTGTGTGTGCGTGGTGGGTGGCAGCAGTTTGGCCGATCGCTTCCCTCCCTCCCTCCCTCAGTTTGCAGTGGGTGGGTGAATTGCATGGCAGCAGTGGGTGTGGTGTGATGGGTGATGGTTGTCGTTTTTCCTTTCTTCTGTCTTTTGTTTCCTTGGTGGACTGGCGCTCGGACGGTACGGTCTGACCTGTAAAGAATGTGGTGTGGTGTGGTGTGCGGACGGACGGACGGACGGATGAGCGGCAAACGTCTCAGGTAGATTGATGGATGCCATTCCACGGGATGGCATGGTCGTGCTCATCTCATTAACACACTGACGTATTTACTGGCTGGTTCGTTTGCCGACCTGCGGGTAGCGAGCTACACGAACGAGGGAAGGAGGGAGGGAGGGAGGGCAACATACTACAACACACACAGACACAACCATACTCAAGCTTGCTCGACTTTACTCCCACACCACCAAGGCATACCTGAGCGAGTCGTGGCCTACTTAGTTTGCTCGGCCTCACGAGAGCTGTGGGTGGCTGGCTGGCTGGCTGGCTGACAGGAACTCTCCTCCCCTCCCCTCCGCTCCCCTCCCCTCTCTCTATCGCCCCTGCACATATTGCGTAGATGTATGTGTGTGTGTGTGTGTGTGTCATTCTTCATGTGTGATGCCTTCATTCCTTCATGTATGTCCTCTATCTATGTAAGAAGCTGACCGGCTGACGGACTGCGCTTTCTTTCTTTCTTTCTTTCTTTCTTGTACCTACCGTACCAACCAACTTACCAACGTAGCCCTCCATCTTATCCATCCATCCATCCATCCATGTGATTATGTAATCGCATGTTCATGTCTGCCTGTGTGTGCACGTGTGGCGGCATGGCGTGGAGTGGCGTGGCGCCTCATGGCATGGCATGGCATGGCATGGTTTGGCAGGTATGTAGGCAGGTAGCCCGACCGACCGACGAGTGGGTGGCTGGGTGCTGACTGGCTGGGTGAGGGGAGGGAGGGGGAGTGACCGGACTGGCCCACATTTGACCTGACGGGACGGAGTGCATGTGTGTGTGTGTGGATGCGTGGACGGCTGACTGACTGGCTGGTCGGCTTGGCGCATGTGTGTGTGTGTGTGTGTGTGTGTGCATACAGACTGACTGACTGACTGACTGGTGTGTGCGTGTGTGTGAACCGTAATAATTAGCTGAATGATAGATGAATCGCGAGCAGCTTGAAGGGAAACTCTTCTGTACTACACACCCCGGACAAGTCAGTCAGGCATACACACACACAAACAGACCGCGCAGACGTCAGAATAGGCCCACGGGATATAAAATGGAGGCAGCGGTTCCCCTCGCGGCTGGGATGTCTCCTAGAGGCTGGGACCACCTGACACACACACACACCTTTATCCCACCATCTGTCTGTCCATTCTCACTCTCCTGCGACTCTGAAAGGCACATCAAAGACAGCTCATGCAGAGACAGGTACGCCCGACGCTCATCATGGCTGTCTGCAGCCCTCCCTCCTTGAATCTAGTATGTCTGCCCTGTCCTCCTGTTTTCCCGCCCACCCATCCACACGCTCGTCCCACTAGCGAGCACACAGCCGACCTTCCATCCATCCATCCAGCCAGCCCACACGACCAAAAACAAACCGATGCTTCCATACACGAGAGAGCCTTTGTGTCTGTCTGCTCACCGTGACAGCAGACCGATCATCGTCTGGGAGGCCCGCCCCGGTTGGGACCACCTGACACACACACATCCATCCATCCACCCACCCAAACAAGGGTGTGTGGTGTGCCTCAGTCTGTCTGTGAGTGCCCAAAGGATCTACCTGACAAGAACTGCGATTTGGCACTGAGATTCTCGGGCTCGTCTGGGCGCAGTTGGTGCACACCTTGCTGCACACCCAAACCACACAAATAGAGAGACATACAGGCCAGCCGCCACGCAAATGGGGCGTGTGGAGCGGTGTGGTTGACCGACCGACCAGTTGTCCTAGTTGTTCTTGTGCCAGTGGACGTCTTTATCCTCGAGCACGTCTTGGAACAAGGCGCTTGAGACACAGAAAGAGACACCACACACACATGTGGGGATCTTGACGATCTCGAATTCACACCCGTGGTAAGATATCGTGCGGGAGGCAACTGCACACACACACACACACAAAATATGGATGGACGTGATTTGGGAGGGAGGGAGGGAGGGAGGAGGAGGAGAGGGGTGTGTGTCTGGTCTGAGGGTGCCAGAATGTCGTCCATGTGTGTGAAGCGGTGTGTGTGTATGGCTGGCCCATGGAGGGCTGGCTGAGTGGCTGGCTGAGTGGCTCGCCCACCTAGCCGAGGTGTTGGTCGAATTCCCTATGCACAGAAATGATGGCACAGTCACACACTGACAAATGCAGCAACCAATCCACCAGAAGAGGGAGGGATGCACATGCATCCAAGCAAAACAGGACAGCAAGCAAATGGGCAGTCGATGCCGGCTTTGCCGGCCAGGGCAGAAACCGCAGGCACACACAATACACCACCCAAGTACACACACAAGCTTCACGGCACAAGAGACGGTTGCCAGCCGACGACAGGCTGCATACACACTGGGCACCTAGGGTGGCAGCAAACCGTGTGGTGCTGCACACAGACAGACAGACAGACACACAGACAGACAGACAGACAGTGGAAGGACCAATCCAACGACATGACCTTTGATCGATCGGGTGTCCGATGTGCCGTGTGCAGAGCCCACCAGCCGGAACACCCACGGCAGCAGCTGCAGCAGCAGCACGATCAGCAGCGCCACCACGACGATGGCACCCATGAGGACGAGGAGCACGAGTGAGAACCATGCCCGCTCCTCAATGCATACAGTCCCCGAACAAACGTGTCAGGCGGGCGAAGAATCTCCTGCATGAGGAACAACACAGGACAGTGTGTCTCCTTTCTGTCTGTCCTTCGATGCCTATGTTGCTTACGCAATTCAGGAACTTGGTGGCTCTGATGGCGTGTTGGCATGCGCATGCGGCACAGCGCATGGCCCGTCTGGATGGGCGGGATGGCCCTCGGTGGGTCAAAGAAGACGCTCCAGGAGCCAGCTGGTCCTCACTGGGCGAATGCGGCGGATTGATGGAGTGCCAACTGATAACTAAGACCACTGGTAGTGGGCCACTGCATCTGCATGTCAGCCTTCTCGTCGGCGGGTTCTTTTCGTAGATCGAGTCGCAGGTCCCGAGGCCCGTCCTTGTGCGTCCAACACAGGCATCTCAAACACAACACGCCGCCGGGCAGCGCGTGGGAGAACACCGGGCGAAACCGACTGGCTCTCAAAAATCCTTCACTCTCTCCGCCCCCAGTCTCGCCTGTCTCCCCCACCGAGAATCTCGACGAGAGCTCGCGTAGACATCAATCGCGAGCCAGTCGCTTTCCCCTCTCTTTTGTTTCCAGCGGCGAATGGCAGCGACAATGGCGCGCCACGTGATCCTGTCTTCGCCATACAACGCCACCACCGATGCAGCAGCCGTCGACGCGTTTGCGTGGGAGCGGGGGGACTGGACGGCCTTGTGGGCGCAGGAGGGGATGCGCGTGAGAGGCCTGGCGGACGACTACCCCGCCCTGGTGCCCCTCGCATCGGCGGGCGAGCGCGCCTTCTTCGGCGGGGCATGGGGCGCCTTCACGCGTCAAATCTACGGTTTGGGACTGCTGACGGCCTTCCTCTACCTGGTGCTCATCACAGCTGGCACCAGGTACATGGCCAAGCGGCCGGCGTGGAACCTCAGAGGCCTGCTCATCCTGTGGAACCTGGCGCTGGCGGTGTTCTCCGTGGTGGGGGCAATGAGGACGGTGCCGCACCTGCTGTACCTGCTGGCGACCTATGGCTTCACATTCACCAGCTGCGGGCCGGCGGGGTTCACCTATGGCAGCTCCGTGTCCGGCGTCTGGACCACTCTTTTCATCTACTCTAAGGTCCGTTGGGTGGTGATGGTCAGTCAGTCACACATGACGAAAGAGCCTTAGGGGCAGAAACGAACGAGCCAAGGCGTCTATCTGGTTGTGTGTGTGTGTGTGTGCAGTACATCGAGATGGTGGACACGCTGTTTTTGATTTTGCGCAAGAAGCCGTTGCGCTTCCTGCATTGGTACCACCACCTGACGGTGTTCCTCTACTGCTGGGACGCATTCGCTAACGAGATGCCCACAGGCATATTCTTCATTGCCATGAACTACACGGGTACGTCACGTACGGGCGGGTCGACAAGATTGCCAGCCAGCCAAACCACGTTTGTGTGTGTGTGCGTGTGTGCGTGTGGGCGCAGTTCATGCGGTGATGTACACGTATTACTTCCTGGCGGCGGTGCTGGAGCGGCCTCTATCGTGGGGCATCGTCGTCACCATCATGCAGGTTTCACAGATGTTCATCGGTGCGCACCCCACCCCCCTCACACACATCCACACACACTCACACACAGCAACCTGACAAGTTTGACGTTCGGTTGGTTGTTGTCCTGCATCAGGTGTTGGCGTGACGGCCGCCTCTCTCCGTCTGGTGTCCCTCTACTCGTTCACGCGCGTCTTCCCCATCGCGACTTTGCCCTCCGACATCCCCCATGTGGGCTGCAGCGCCTGGCCGCTCAACGCCGTCTTCGCCCTGATCATGTACGCCACGTACCTGCTGCTCTTCTTGCGCTTCTTCGTCAACCGCTACATCGTCACACCCAAGGGCAAGGGCGGCAAGGGCGGCAAGAGGGAGAGGGAGGAGGAGAAGGACCCCTGCCAGACGGCCACCGAGGCGGCCAACGCCACCATCAGTGGACTCAAGAAGACCGTGTGACAGTACAACACATACATACTCGTACAAGAAGATACGGGTCAGAGAGAGGGAGGGATGTTGAGAGGGGAAGGCCGCCTTGGTGTGTGGGCGCGATTGATGATGTAATTAAGCGGCCGGGGTCGATGTCTGTCTGGCTGGTGGCGGTGGACCATCGTTCGTATGGGCTGTCCGCCTATTTGTCCGTTCATTTCGTTGATTTTGCGAGTGGATGAAAACTGAGAGCGATGGTGAATTGAATGGGGACGGGGCGCGAGAGAGAGAGAGAGAGAGGGAGAGAGAGGGGAGAGAGAGAGAGAGAGAGGGGGGGGGGGGGGG